AGAATTAGATTAAAGGTACTATGATCGCTGCCACTCGTCCTTTATAGTACATCAAACGAGTTCCTTCAACTTCTAACTATATGACGTACATTATTTTACAGAAAATTATCCGTAAAACAATTTTAATATCTGTCCACAGAGCTAGGAAAAATGCTTCAGTTATCGTTTGCTGTAGTTAGGTGTAATTATCATTGTTCTGATCATGCATATATTTTAAGAACACTTTGTATCAACTTTCATGTTGATTCAGATTGTGTCATAAGATACGTCGAATGACAAAAAAAGGGTTTTTTTTAGTACTTAATAATTTCACCAATTTTTTTTACTTTTTAATTAAGTGTCTAATGAGTTTAACGCGTTTAATATTAATGAGATCCTCTCGGCTGTTTTCGTGTTAGATGTAAAAATGGTACTTGACGACGACAAGACGATGGTATGCAGAAGAGCGAGCTACTCGAGTTTAATAAAATAGCAATTTGTGAAAATCCTTGTAATTATTACAAATTTTCATCATACAGCGTATGTAGTACAGCCTAACCGTAATTTTATTAATTATATTTGGAGATAGAAGAAAAACAATCTTGAAACAGTAATTGTATATATATTTTTTTTATTTAATAAAAAATGTTATTTTTCGAAAATTAGTTATACAGGCGCACATAAATAATATGCTATTATTCAGAATACGAGCGGCGGCGTGCGGTTTTTAAACATATGTAATTAAGTTAAATCACAAAACAGTACAAAATTTTCTCTTTGCCAATCGTTACACGACTTAATAATAATTTATTATAACTAAACATTGCATTGGTCTAGCTATTGCTTATGGTACTATAGCGTGTAGTGTTACTTTAATCGACTGATTCGTTAGCTTTTGTAAACGTCTAAAGCAAAAAGAACATGTCATGTAAGAAAAAGGACCTTTATAATAATGTCAAGTGTATAAGCATTTGAGCTGTCCGATAATAATTATTTGTAAATATTTATTCGTGAATAGGTCGATATCGTCATCGCATTCGAACAAAGAAAAACATAAATGGAATTTCGATTTCTGCCATTAGGTTTCGACCAAGGACGTCTGCAAAACATTATCCAAAGAAAGGCAAAATGTATTTACAAATATTATTGTCTTACTATGTTACATTGTCTTATTATGTTATAAGTACTTTGATAATATCATAATTCTTCTTCCAACGGTATCATTTCGGGGACAAGTGTAAAAATAAAATTTAATATTATTCAACTGCAAACTTAACGTTTTCTACTAAGTAATATTTTCAAGCAATTTCTTTAATGTTAACCAAAAAACATAAAGTTATCGTTTATTATCAATATTATATATATTAGCTAATATACCATAATATTCTCTAGTGACCAGAAAAATGTTAAGCAATAATGAGCATAAGTTCAGTTAGGTTAAGTTAATAGTTAAATAACAGAACAACTACTCGTCACCTGTATCAATTTTTACATTGACATTAAACAAAATTTAATTTAAAGTAGAAAATAATTATGATAACATATTAATTCTAAATGTTTACTTAAAAAGAAAGAAGGCATAAATGTCAATAGTACTCGATTACAAAGGATGGAAAAACATTGTATAATCATCAGATAATAGTTCTTACTGTGTAATGTGTTTGCACAATAGAAATTGTATAGTAATAACTTATAACAATAGCCAAATGTCACTTTTCTCCATATGGTCGCATGGATTTAAAAACAATTACATTTCAGCTGTTTTACTATTAGATTAGATGCAGAATTGAAAAGAGTGTAGACGATGTGTTGAAAAAATAAGTAAACGTCTAGATCTGCTACAAATCACTTGAATCGCTAAGAAACATAAATTAACATTTGTTGGTAGATTTAGAACTTAGAACTAAAATAACACGACTTTCTCTCTTTGGGATAAATGTCCATTGAACACCTAAACGCTTAATTTTTACTCATTAAATAAAATGTAATTGTTCGATTACACATTTTCGGAAAAACACATTTTTTCGGTGCAAACATTGCACGGACAAATTTGTTGTTTGTTTTTATTTTGTTTTAAATTATTACGATAACGCTCCAAAATGATTGCCTCAACGTGTGTTACGAGTAAATTACTCACAATTTAGTTATGTAGGCAACACATGGTTTATCATTGTATATACTATTCATTTTGTGCTATTCATTCATTGTTCTTATCTGTGTTCATGCTGAATGCAAACCCGAATTAATGGAATTATTTACTAGGAGTTAATTATTTGGGCAGCCTTGTTATTGTTTGTATACGACTATAAGAGATTTCATTTATCTAGCATCTAAGTTGTATTAATAAATGATCCCGAAATGTGCACCATACATTATTAGGAAACAATATAATGTTAAACATAATTTATTTCTCAAATCCTTACATTTTCTAACGTAATTAATATTTATTTTGTTTTCATTCAACTGTGGTGTTTGAAATAATATTATTTTAGTACGTAAAATTATGCATTACATTTAGATAAAATAAATTGATTAGGGATCCGGTTCAAGAGTTTAGGTTTATAGCTTAATATAAAAAATTACTACAATGATATGAACACATGTTTTAGTAAATTGTAAAGACATATAATTTATATTAAAAACTACAAACTAAACTAGTGGTTGCTGTTTTTCGGTTGCATATTTTTTTTTATAAATTATATTACATTGTTTCAAGCAAAAGAGACTTTTTATTGTTTAAAAACCAAATTTTTATTATAAATGCAGTTATTTTTATTCAACGCTTGTCAGTTTTTTGGAAAGTGATATGTAGGATTTTTGATCTTCTAATGTAATAAATTAGATTTGAGACAAATAAAAGAAGACCAAATGACGGTAATTTAACGTATATTTTCAACTCTAAAAGATACTAACGGTGTAGACTTAAATTATGAAAACCGTTGATTTTTTAAAACTTATATACTTGATTTATATTTTACTCAGAATCTGAAATTCTCAATTACTCTTTAATATGTTCTCCACGGTGGATATTCAAAAACTAATTTTTGTTTCAAGTATTAAATACCAATTGGCGACTTAAAAAACTTTTAATAATATTAATTTAGTAACCGGTATGGAATATGAAAAAAGTTTATACAATTTGCATAAATTAATTTTCTGGAAATATTAATCCAAAAATTTGACCGTATACGTAAATCGAGAGATTTGAATTGTATTAATTTATTCGATTTCTGTATACTATTAGCATAGAGCCGATTATAATATATATTAGCATAATCGTTGAGTACTTAGGATTTAGATCACATACAAAAATGTTCCAACTAAATATATCTATTATTCTATAACTAAAACATAGCTTATAGAATGAAAAATTTCGCGATACAAGAATAAATACATTTATTGTTATATATATATAATGGTGGTCCTTATGTGAATAAAAAACATTCTTCACCACCCGTCAATAGTTCCAAAATTGTGAAAAAAAACCCTTATTTTTTTAGATTTTTTTCTCTTTCTCTTCCTTATGTGGTTTCAGAGAGAAGTTTGAAATATTTGAAAATTAATTTAGTCATATGGAAGAAAATATATTCTAAAATGTATAGTGTAAAGTTAAAAAATACAAAACTATTTATACAATTTATAATGTATTTACTAATAAGCAAAATATAAGTATAATAGTAGAGAATTTTAAGACTTGAGGTATTATCATGTACAACTAATGCATTTGTATTAAGCTAATAATGATATAATATATTAATAATTAAAATATATTTTGTGGGACCAATGTTTTGTAAGACGGCACTCTAGTTATGCAATTTCATTACACAACTGTGTATGTGACCGTGCGAAGTATCTCGCTTTATTTGTCACATCATTTACTAACAAAAAAAAAAATTGTATCGACATGTTAAATTGATTGGAATATTCTTCCGGTTTTACTAAAATGTATAGTCTCCATGCATTAACGTATCGTTTTGAAATCATCATCGAATAGTTTATTTATCAAAACGCTATATCTTCTTCCGGAAACCGAAATACTTGTTGTATATTGTTGTTGTTATTTATTTATACAACTATTCATAGCTCTTTACAAGCAATACGAGAAAAACGATGAGCAAACATTTGTCTTAACGTAGTGTCTTTAAAATTATTTAAAGTTTTAATACACATTTATAAATGCTCATGACTTTAAACAACCATGCAAGCACACTAAAATGTTTTTTGCTTTGGGATTTTAATTTAAATTATTATCTGAATAAAGCTAAAAACGTCTTAATCGTCGAAGAGTCTTTATAACGATAAAATATATTTATAATATTGAGCTCCTTGCATGTTAGGACTATAGGTGCTACAAGGTATTGTTTTAACAACGAGTTTTTATTTTTTTGTCTAAAACCATCTACCAAACCGCTGAAACGATTCCTTCGTGTAGCATGTCTACATGTACAACTTTCTCAATTATCTGTAGCCAAACTTTATTTTTTTAAACTCCCCCCCCCCCCCAATTAAAAAAAATAAAAAATCATACTTGTCGTATTAAATTTCCAGGTTACTCTCTATGTGAATATATACGAAAAACATTTTTCATAAAAATGTTTATAATTCGTCTATTGGTAACAGCGACGAATTGTTAAAAAGACAGACGATCAACTGAAATCGTATCCACTTTAATACAAAAAAATACAATTTTAAACACATTTGTAATGCTTTTATCGGTATTTAATATTTTTACATTATTTGCATCGAAGCGTTTATAATTATTTTCGATATTCTTATAATTATCCTGAAAATTGCTATGACTGACTTCCCGATCCCAATATCTTTCTTTTCCTACTATCCCGAACCCCAGTGTGCCTGCTTAAAAAAACCATATTTTATATACTAATGTTACTAAATAGTGATTTGGATAAATATGTAGTTAACGAAAATATTTTTTATGTTGTGTAGTGTATTAATTAAATAAGTGAAAATTGATTAAAAAAATATTTACATATATATATATATATTTAAATGTGTCTTACCTGTGGCCCGAAGCGCACGACCAGTTTGCGGTACAAACGGTGATACTGTACAGCAGAGTGAAATCTACTGCTCCATTTCTATATTATATATACGCAAGGCTTGTTTCGTGCACTACGCACTCGATGAGGGTGGATCAGACAACCGAGAGGGTAATATTCTACACCACTCTTTTCAGCGTGCGCGCAACAAGTCCCACCTCCTGACAGAAGAGCTATGTTCGTATCTCTATACAGACAAACGGTTATTTATGTTTGTTGATATTTAGGCCCGGTATTAAATTGGAAATGTATAAATAAAAGCTAGTATAACTATGACACCGTCAATCTGGTGAAAACTTAAGCTATAAACAACAATTAATTACCGTTTATTTATTTATACAATATCAATCTGTTAGGACCCAATTTCACACCTAAAAGTGACTCATTAAATCAAAATACACAAAAAAAAAAATGTAAAACGTTAAAATATTATTTTTTAAAGTATTCGTTGAGTAATTAGAACAAATGTTAATTTAACCTTACTCTAAATAACAGAGCATACATATATGCATTGTGGCAACTTTTCAGGAAATTTAGTAGACTACCATTTTTTTTATTTGTGTATACAAAATTTAATAAAATATTGTACAATCGAATATTTTTCTGATCGAATAATATATATATTTTGTTTGTACTATTTTTTTCTAAAATCCTAATTCAATACTATGGGCTGTATATTTTATGGAAAAATATCATACAGTGCAGCATTAAGTTATTATTAATCAATAGTAAACATTTGGAAGCAAAAATACTCAATATCAAACACAAGTGGCGCTCATGATGTATCTACATTTTTCAACATATAATCATTAAAAACTTTGTCATTACAAATCATATTCTGGTATAAGTATTAAAACCCGCGAAACAAGTTTATAACTCGGCAATTGTTTTTAAATATAGAAGAAACATTTATTTTATCGTATTACCTAAGCAATAAAGATTTTCCAAATACAGACCATATTTTATTACATTCAACTAACTCATGCTCTTGTAATAATAAATTAAAAATTAATTTTACCATCAAGTACTTAGGTATAGAAATGAGCTGTAATTTAAAATGGTTAGTATTTAAAATGTATTAGTAACAAAAAGAAGAAAACTTTCTTATGGCTTAAAACAGTTGAGATCTATTTTAAGCAATAAACAAGTTAAAATGGTCTACAAATCACTGGTAGAGTCCTCCTATAATTATGACATAATTGCATGGGGTGCATCCAGGGATGGGCAAAAGACAGTATCTTTTCGACTAAGTACAATATACAAGATACAAAATACAATTATCTTATATCTTATAACTTAAGTTAATTAAACACATTGACTTATGTAACAAGCTACAAAATTTGCGCCTATATTGTTATAATTTGTTAACTGTTCCTCAACTGCAATATGTATTTATATTATCGTTTTGTATGTCTTTAGGTATTTGTATTACTAATAATTTTAAGTAATGTGGCGATTTAGTTTATGGTTTAGTTTATAGATAAGACTTCATGGGCACTCACTTAAGCTCGCTCAGTAGGGCCATTACGTATTATAAATTTTGTAAATAAAAAAAAAAAGATATCCCGGCAATTGCTTGCATGTTTTCATTACTAATAATTATACTAAAGTCCATTTAGCATACTTATTACATTACTTAGTAAAATTTAAAAACAAGAACTCTATACATATAATAGTCTTTTTTAGTAATAAAAAAATTAACGGTATACATATTTGTCGCATATTATTTGAAAGCTAAAGATTTACATATTAACAGCATAAATACCTATAAATAGTCAAAGTCAAAACTCATGGTCATATGTTATACTTTATATTGTTATAATCATTAAATTAGTTGTCATCGAAATAAAAGCATTGTAGGTTTGTACATAAATTACCATTACGATGCTTTTTTATACGTCTTCATTTTAGGCAATGAATAATTAGGTATTATCCGAAGCTTAGTTCGCTTGAGTTCATATTCGATTTTCCAATTAATCTCAGTGATACGGTGGATTAGGTTAAGCGCGGAAACGATACTGGGTATTAAATAGGTTTAAACTTTAAATTTAATCGGTACCTGAAAGTTGAGGAATTAGTTTTAGTATAATTAAAATGTGTTTTGTTGCAATTTGGTTGGTCAAAATGTATCTATGTTTAATCGTTATGTGTATTACCAGCGTTTTATGTAGAAATATAATAATTAATTAGAAAACTATTAGATTGGACTTGAGAAATCATCATAATTGATATTATTAAAAATATATATCTACGCCTAGTATTTTAAAATATTTAATATTTTGGTGCTATTTTTTGAAGGTACATAGACCTGTCTTCTTATTTTACGTTATATATTTCATTTCAATACATACGATTTCATATATAAAGGTATACAATTTTATACAACGTTTTTACGTTTCAATAAATAAAATAATATGTATGTTTAAATTTAAAAATTAATTTTAAACTGTTGTAGGATATAATAAATATACAGTTAAAACTAAGAAAATATCATTAACGACTTTATCTTTGATAGGATGGAAACTATTTTGTTTGGTTTTCGTAGTCCTAGTTTTTGGACTTACAAATAAAAAGAACTGTTTAATTTTTTTTGTTTTTACTGTTCTTATTTGGTCAATATAAATGTTGCTAATTAAAAATGTATTAATCGGTTGTCTTTTATTAGACCTAGGTAACGAGAAGATATCGAGCGGAAGAAAGTATTAGTTGTCCTTAACTATTTTTTTTAAAATATTGTTTCCAATCTTTGTTTGCAAATATCATGCGTGATTTAATAAATAGAAAAAGGCCACTAAAAACAAATTGCATTAAATATTGTAAGAATACATTTTTTCCGATATTCATTTAAGAATACTACATATGCTCTATAGTCTTTTCTTTATGAATGATATTTTAGAGACAGTGATTACCTTTATCCCTACCGTTGATGTATATTTCAATAATAAATGGCCATATGAATATGCCATTTAGACAACAAAAAGTTAAAACATTATTTCCAAGTAATATCGTGATAAGAGACCGGTAGAAAATGTTGCAGACAACACTATTAAACGTTTTAGTCGTTCCATTTCCTGAGCAAATTTTGAGTTGTAGTTAACTTTAAATTGAATTATCACTTTGCGCATAATCATTCATTATTACGCGGTCCGCTCTTGGATTAATGAATAATAATTATACAATATGTAAGACAGCTACTCTAATAAATAGCTAAATTTTTCTTTAGCGCTCAAATATTATAATGCAATCATTCCGCTACAGAGTTCTACCTTCCGGCTGTCGATTTGAGAACCTAGTCTACACGAACAGCAAGCAAGTTGAAAACTTAGATCCAACACCGGTATTTAATTGTTCTGTCCTGTTCACATTAGGATAGGTAGACGTTTATAGAATGTTGATTATTGAGTTATTGTTTAAAACTACAATCAAAATGCGTAAAATAATCTATAGAAAATATCAAATAAAAAAGAATTAGTTTACGGTAAGGATTGGTGGGAAAATAAGTTTTATATAGTCATTTATTATAGCACTTAAATGGGCCATTTCTGATTTCCATTATTGCACAATAAGTTCGTAAATACCGCATCTAACACATATCATAAAAATACATAGGAATTCGTTTGAAAAAGACAGACAATTGAATACTATTAAGCTGTTGAAACTTTTTAGTTTTTTTTTTATATTAATTGATTTATGAAAGACCAAATTAATTTGTTAATTTTTCAATTTGGCACCGATGTGTTTTTTTTTACATTTATAGGCTCTTCAAGTTAAAAACAAATATATATTATATGTTTTCTCATTCACGAGGTTAATTAGAGACAGAGAGGTTGAGGCTTTTAAGTTTGGCTTTCGACTTAATATAATCAACATCATTTCTTTTATTAATTTGGTGTCTATCCAAATATTTTATTGTCTGTCTGTAATTTTCTATTTTTCAATATAATTCACTAGTCGAAACACCCGAAGTTTTAATTACTCGACCAATTAATTTAAAACCAACGTTTTGTTTGTTGTCAAATAATAAACAGTTATTCGTGTAAGATGTTTTCAAGGGGGTGTACTGAAAATTGTATTTATACTATAATGGTTCGTTAAGATACCATAGTGATTAGTGAAAGGCAAATAGTTTTCCATGCTTGTACCCGTTGCAGTCGTAGTTATTTAGATTTAACTTGTCATTAGATTGAACGTTCAATGTAACTTAACTATGTGAATACTCGCATTGAGTTCCCATTAAATTAAATTAAATGGAAACAATACATCTTCAAGCTGAACGGCGATGAACAATAATTATTCAATAAGGCAGTTCGTGAAGTGTTTCAAAGAGACGAGCTGTTAATGCCTGACGTAGTTACTATGAGTTAGTTTGGATTTTGAACGTTCCACGGCCGGATATACATGCTGTGCTTACACGAATGATCATTGGGTTGTTAGATACTTATGCGTGCTTTTTGTCAATTACATAGTCACGCTTTATTAAGTTTCATCAAGCAAAGTAGGACTGAAAATCACACGACAAAACGGAAACAAAGTTTGAGGACGTAAACATATAATTATGCGTTAATAGTAAAATCTAAATATGAGTGAATGATTGAATGATTATAATCATCTCTATGTTATAGAGCTTTTGTTTTTTTAACGGGTATTACTGGTACAGGTAATATAGCTGGTTACACAGGTACCCGCAAACACGTCTAACATCCGGAACAACCGAGTATCCGAACCAACAAAATACCTGAAATTGCCGATTACCCTGTACCGGAAATGATTGGGTACTTTTTTATTATATTCCGATCAAACATTAATCTTTCCTCTAGAGAGGAAAACATTTTTTTCATCTACATTTTGTAGAATCTTGAAAACATCATCGATAAAAGTGATATTGTGTAATTACATTTTTGTTTTGCTTCGATTAAACGCTTTAAAAATGTATAATTTTACTTTATTATGTTTGGTATTTCGTAGATACTCTGCACTTTTTTGAATCTATTTACACAAGTAGCATACCAATTTATTAAAATGTGTAAAAATTCTAAAGACCTGTAAATAAATAAGGTCGATTCTTTAAATATTAACATTAAGACGCTGCTACAACATAGCGATATCACCATCGCAGTCTAACATTTCTCAGACCTCCTCCCATTGTTAAAACCAAATCCATACCTTCGTAGAATTTTGAAGCATTAAATTTAAAAAAAACATTCAACCGTGAACACAGCTGGGTAGAAATTAGAATAAATATTATATATTCGGTTTTTTCTAAGTAGACTGTACATATTCAACATAAACGCCGTTTGTCTTAAAAATATCTTATTAATGAGCTTTGCTTATTTGGAGGGGGCGTTATAAATCAGAAATTTAAACTGAAAAAAGTCTCGACTAACTATGTTTGTTCTACCGAGATAGATGTATTTATGTAGATGTAGAAAATAATTACTTATGATTTTATTAATCTCCCTCTCTCTCTTTCTCTATCTCGGTGTTTAGTATACCGCGGTCTTTGAAACCCAAGTGATTTGCATATCTGCCGGAGCAGACCACATGATGCGGAGTGTAGACTTACTACTTTCAGTGTCCTTGAACACTAGTTTCTTTATATAGTTTACCAGCCGAAGTGTGTGATTATTAATTGTTATTAAGCGGAAACGTGCTGCGAATACTTTCGGTATTAAAGCGAAATGATGACACACGCTTTATCGCGACCAAAGACATTGTCTTAAGTACGCTACCGCTGCAACATCATCTCCACTGTTGGCTTACATCATTCCTGTCTGTGAAATAGGTTGAACGACAATAGCGAGTAAAAATATTTAGTACAGAAAACATATTTCTTCAACAATATTAATAACTTAAGGTACAATGTTGAATATTATGTAGACTTTTCATAGGAAACTAATGATTTTTTACTTGATTTTCTTTTCATTACAAACATAACAATAATACTAGTAGCTAAGATAAAATATAATCACATTTTTTATCCCTAAAAATGTATCTGTAATTAATATTTTAACAAAATTGGTAATTTATGAATATTTGAACTTATTGGTACAATTACCCATCCCCCTTATCAAAACTGTAAATATAAAAAAATTAAATGTATGATTTATATAATATTGGAATTAATTATATAATAAATAATGTTAATATAATTAATTATGAACGAAATAGTATATTGTATAAAATAATGGAAATTAGTTTTAATTAGTTCATATTATTATTATATAATTTTTATTATTGAGTTTTATAATTTAATATAAATTATATTATAATATAATATATAATTTAATTTATAGCTGACAAAAACGAAAATATCAGTTTTTTTTGTTGAAAATATCAGTTAACTGCAGAAGCGGAACATGTCATGGAGATGTCCTCTTTCTGTTGTAAGTAGGAATTTCCAAGCGCTACTTTTAGACGTTTCGTCAAATTTTTCTCTTTTCTGCAGTAGTCGATGCGTTTACGTGTGCTTAGTTCAAAATGATAATAAAATCAAAATTGATAAAAATGGACTTGTCCCCTTTCTGTAGTTAGCGGTTCACATATTCTTCAACTCAAAATTACGATGCTCTATAACTTTTAAAAAAAATTGTCGAATTAGTTACACATTTTTATGGAGTATTCTTTAAACATAGAATTACCGATAAACATTGACAAACCAAAAAAAAATATCATAAACTTATTCCCTAGAAAGGATAGAATTTTTTACTTTATTTCACTTTTCCAAGCAAAGTTTTAGGCCTGAAAATTAGGTCGAATGTAGATCTAAAATGAAACTATAACATTTAACATTTTCTCAAAAATCTGTAATCAATTTTTTTTTTAATTAAGAAAAAACTCAAAAAAAAAAAAAATGGGAAAATTACACTTTGACTGTAGTCAATTTCCAGGTTGCTACGTGTGAATAAATCAACAAATGTTCATTATATTGTTAATTATGATGCTACGGCATTACAATTGTATAGATAGACGATCAACCCTAATCGTATCCACCCTGATACTAACAAATAATTTTTAAGCATATGATTGTCATTAGGTACAACGATTTTATTGATATTTGTATTTTTATATGTGAACACTGGACTCCCTTACTTACTCACTTATGTATAATACTTTCTTACTATGCTGGTTTATACAGTGGTTGGTTTGGACTGTACTAGTTTGAACCCACTATCCATAGATTCGCAACGAAGCGTTTAATTTAAAGTGATTTTATCACTTTCAGTTATAAAAATTCCTGTAGATCTGTAACTTTCCCGTCCCACTGTGCTGGCTTTTTTACTATGTTCTTTTAAAATATGAATAAGAAAAGCTATTAAAAAGTTTGAAAAAAAAAATTCAAAAGGTTAATTCACTATGGTTTTGTTTTTTAGAATATAATTCAAATTGTCTAACGGTAACCTAAAGAATATCCAAAGGCGTTTTCTATGCATGATTATATTTGAGATTGCATAAGGAACTTTAATGAAGTGGTTTTACGGTAAATAGTTAAATTGTTGGTCAGGAGTACATTTTGAGGTCGTTAGAAACTATTCATTTAAAACTCAAGAAACAGCTCTAAATCTACAGCACTTTATTTGCAAACTAAATATAATTGAAAAAGTTCAAAGTTCACTATATAATTATATCGTATAACGAGATGTTACAGCTGCGATGCTATTTTCTAAGCTGAAAAGTTATTGATTCCTGTTCAAAACGAGCTAGATTTTTTATTATATACAGTATACACAATCATTTAATTATGTTAATATTATACAAATACTTAATTTATGCAATCATTGTTTTAAAAGTTATGTTTATTTATAGCACTATAGCAAACTCATGCATTATTTTACAAAATAATTAAATGTAATGACCATATGTTTGAAAAGTTACTTAGTATGAGCTAAGCCTTTTTTAAGCCAAATTTCATGGTAACAAAATGTACATAAACAATAGTAATATTATGAATACATATAACATATTTATTTCAATTTTTTATGTTTGATATTTCTTTTTTTAAGTGTGTCCAATTTGATTATCGTACATCTCTAAAATATCTATTATTTAGTAAATTAATTCGTTTCTATTTTATCCTTTCCTTTTTCTTCTTTTTCTTGTATGCCATCCGTTGTAATCATTTTTTGAAATGGATCAAATTCTGGCATTAAATGAAGAGGCAATTCCTGTACGTCTGCGAGTAACTGTGTCATTAAGGATTTCGCCATTACGAATTGGTTTATTAAAATCTTCGATAGTTTTACTCTTCCATTTTGTTTTTTCAGCGTATCGATTATTTTGATTAGGGTTTTCACATCATAAGCAATATTAAATTGTTTGCCTGTTGCTCGTAATAACAACGATATTTTTGTACAGTCTCTTAACATTTGGTCTACATTAATTATATTTAAAAAAAAATGTAGTAATGTATATACGTTACCTTTTAAGTTTCGAAAGTCGATGGAACTCTAGAAATAAAATACTTACATCGTTTTTAGTTATACCTACAAAATGTATATTTACAAATCGGCTTCGTCAACGTTTCGGAAGCCTTTCATCTTCAGAGCTGTGTTACGTGCTGGTTACGATGTTGTTTCTTCCGCTAGTGCCTCTAGGCTAATGTTTTCCAATTTAAAATTCTAGAGTTAACCAAAAATTATTGAATATTGCTTAATATTGTAAAATAGCTTCAACTAAAATGATTCCAAAAAGAAAAAAACTATAAAATTGTAATTATTATTTGAAAATGAGCGTCTTACGTTAACCCTGTAGCTGTACCAATAAACGTTGACAAACAAAAACCCTTAAGTACTTAAAATCTAAAAATTACTGATAGTAGGTTTAGAGTGGGGTTTTAACATAATATTATACAGTTCTTTTCAAATATATATTATATTAAGTCAAATGCTGTATTAATGATCACAAAAGTCCAGACTAGACATAGGTAATGGCTACTAATTAGCACATAAATACAATGTACTTAATTTTTACAAAAATACACAAGTATTTATTCTAATGGTTTATTCAGAATTTATAATTATTTTGACATACATAGTTTATTTTTATTATTTAGAGTTGTTATTATTTTAAATCTTTTTTATGGTGTATCATACATAGTTATAGGTTATATATAATTTTTTTATTTTATTTTTATCATAAGTGTTATATAATTTTAATTATTATTATGTAGATATAAGTCAATACTACATCATCTAATGTTCCTCGGTAGTGTCTTTGATATTATTATAATTAAAGAACTCTGAAATAAAAATACTGGAATTAAGTTTTTATAAAAAGTTAAAAATCTCCTTATAATAAATACAATTAAAAAAATAATAAACATATTTTACAATTTTATGCTTATTAAATTTGTATTATTATAAAATGTTGTGGCATTATAATAGAAAATGATAGTACATCAATTTTGACAAACTTGTTCTTAAAAATATATTTCCTTATATTAGTTACATAGTATAAAAAGCCAAAAAAAATGTCCAAACAAAAATATTGTCTTCCTGGGGTAAGTATACGAATACATATTTTCAGGCAAATGTTATCAGAACTTCTCGTCAGAGACATAAACATCAAAAAGAGTATTATGCAAAAATTATTAAGTTATTAATTGTAAATTTTGCTCTAGATTTTTTTTATTACATATTCGGACCAATATTAGCAAAACTAAGACAAATTATTTGAAACAAAGGGAAAAATGAGATATTTTAATAATTTTGTACCTACTTATGAAAAGAGAAAAAATGTATTTAGTTGTCTTAAAACATATGTGTTGTAGTTCTTTCCAAGTTGATGATTATAAAAAAAAAATAATTGCATTTTTATCAATTGGCATATCGGTTTCTAGATAGTTATTAGGATAATCATAAAGAAATATATTATAGTCGTTTAGATAATGTACCGTTCATATTAATTTGGCCGTCATCATCTTCGTCAGTCCATCTCGTGAGATTTACTATAGCATCCTGACTCATCCCAAAGTGATGAAGTGTTAAAAAACGGGATAGCTCATTTTTACTAATCAATCCGTTTTTGTCTTCGTCAATAATATTGAACATTTGTTTGTAATGATCTTTTGCGTTTCCCTTAATCATATTAAAATATCGAAACTCTTCAATATTAAGTGAACCGTTTTCTAAAAAAAAAGGTCGCATTATAATTTTATTTTATTTTTTGTTAACATATGTATTTTTAAATAACAAATATACATGTATGATAAACGATTAATGGGTAATTGTATTCTATATATTGTAATTTTCATAATTAATATCTGCGATTTAAAATTGAAATGGTAAATATTACTATCGAAATCGTGTAAATCAATAAGTGATGTGATGCATTCCATTTTACACGATCTGTTGTTTGAATTCAATACTGTGTACATCTCTTTTGCACTTATTTCACCGTCTCTATCCAGGTCGTATATTTTGAAAATATTTAACCATTCGATATCTTCCACTGTCATTGCCTATTAATGACCGTTAAAGTAAAAAAATACAACATCAACGTTTTACAATCAATCAATTCGTAAGTTACAATACAATACAAAAATAAAAAACTAGCAGAACTTATGCACACATTTTTTTTTTAACCCAGTTTTTGCATTTTATGCCAGTTTTAAATCTCTCAACAGGGAGAAGATTATACACGTAAAGTCAAAACCATAAACTGACAAAAAAACTGATTGGTTAACCGATTTTTATTATAATAATTTCCCTATAACATAAAAAAACACCTGACGAATGAAGTGTATCGGCTTAAAATGAAAAATTGAAGAAGAAAATACACGGAACTGTGAAAGTTAATCCTTGAAAAATGTTAAGTTTAATCTAAACTGAAAAAATTACCTCTAATGGTGTAAGGTATATTTTATGAAGACGTTTTATCATACCAATAAACTGTTCGTAATTAATTGTTTCATTTTCTGCGAATTAAAAAAAACTCATTAGATGTTCAAAATTGTTTACTTGGTTGCATATTATTATCGTTAGCCGATATTTATTTTATCATCTACCAATATTATAAGCTTTAAAATAATTTTTGCATTCGTCCAATGTCCATGTTACACCCTGAGAATTAATAACAGTTAGGAATTGTTCTGCGGTTATATTATCGTTGTCTTGTGTTGTGTGTTTTTTGAATGCAATTTCAAGCTCCTCAATTTCTTTATTGGTTAGCTTAGAATCCTGTGAGACCAAAAACCATAACATAAAAAAAACTAATAAATTGTTATGCGAGTTAAGATATATATGCCAATTTAAAATGTTAATATCAAAGTCGAACCAACCTCAATTGATTTGCGCAAAATGTCAACGTCAATTTTCGGTTGATACAATTGACCCATGACAGTTTTTATCAGATCTTGACTATCAGACAGTGTTTTAGCCACAGTATCGTTCTACAATTTAAAATATAAATAACCATCATTTTAATTTATAGTAATAGAAAAAATTTCACGGATATTAGCAAAATAATAAACAAATGTATTTAATCTAAACCCAGCCTAAATGACTCTTATGCCAAAATCACTCTTTACGAACGTCATCCTAAACCTTGTGGTTAGCAAAAAAACATTACTAGTGAGTATGTATGACACCATATCACATAGTAGATATTATACATACTTTAAAACATTATATCTTAGGATACATTTTTGACTAAAGATTAAAATAAAAAGTCAGTACAAGGGGATCGGGGCATAATGGGGACGCAGCATATTGGACCGGGGAGGTCACGGGTTATGTATTTGGCATTTTTCCTCCGGGCTTAAACGGTTGATTGGCATTTTTGGGTCTGGTGCCGACCTAACGCTACCTGACAAGTTGGCCTCAGTGTGAGTTGTGAGTGGCCATTTCTCCCCCAGACAGTTGCCCGCCCGGAGGAACAAACCACCAGTGGCCGTGGTTTGAACCGGTGACTGTGCGTTGATACACTGCCGCCTTATCTCACTCCGCCACACTCCTACCCAGAGAATATTATAACTAAAAGTGATAAAATAATTTTCAAATAAACGATGCGATGCATACCTATGTGTAGATAGTATAAATACAAAAATCGATAACAGCATTAAAAAAGATATAATATGTTGAAAATTAAATTTTGAGTATTGGGAAGAATACTATTAGGGTTGATCGTAACATGTCTTTAAGAGGACACTGCCCATAACAAAAGAGTAAAGTAGTAGGCAATTCTTTTCAAAATATTGATTCAGAGCTTGAACTATAGTGTTTACTTATTAATACCAGTGGCGTATACAGGGGGGAGGGGATGATGGGGGATATATCCCCCCCCATGGGACTTTTTTTTATATTTTAAACATGACAGTTCATCAACATGAAATTAACATTTAAGTTTATTAAATTCAAAATAATATGTATTTATACATACACATTGAAAACAAAATTTATCATCGCAAATATGTGCTCTGTAGTGATAACTGATAAGCGATACCACAAACATTAACCACTAACCAGTAACGACAATTACACTCTACCCGTGGACCGTGGTTATAGTACATACATATAAAGTTGGTGGAAATCAGAAAATTAATGTAGAATAGACTATTTAAAACATCGAGAGTTATTTGCAATGTTTTTGCTGTCTTCTTCCAGGATAAAGTTCATTCAGAAACAGATAATGACTTTAAGTTACTTATTGAAACTTACAAAGTTGACTTAGACTGCAGTGAAATGCAAATAATAGGAGAAATGTATTTATGGCAAAACAAGTGCAAATCGATGAGTATATCTACAAATATTGTGCGATTGTTTTGTAAATGTGATAACACAATTTTTCCATGCATCAACAAACTTCTAAAAATCCTGATTACACTTCCAGTAACCACAGCAACCAGTGAACGCTCTTTTTCTACACTTAAACGTTTGAAAACATACATAAGAAATACAACTGGGCAGTCAACATTAAATGGGTTGGTATTAATGAATATTCATCGAGATATTCCAATAACTTCAGAACAGGTTATAAATGAGTTTTCTGTAAAAGCCAGGAGAATGAATTTCCGTCTCGATTAAAGCTATAGTTTTGTTAGTTACCTACTAAATAGTTTAGTATATATTTTTTATGTTTAGTGTTATTATTCATAAATATTCGTAATACTTAGTAAACACAAATATTTAATAATTCTTTAAAAGTATGCATAATTCTTAATATTATCAGTTCAATAGCAAACAGTAATAAATACTGTTGCGAATATTTTTTTGTTATTATAATAAAGATTGAAATACATTTTCGTTAATCGTTGTACTAGCCTATGGCATCCCCCCCCCATACAAAATTCCTGCGCACGCCACTGATTAATACAGTAATGAGGATACTTTATTGGTTGGCATTTTTTGTCACAGTCATTTCTGTAGGATTAATTGCAATTTCTTTCCGTCAAAACTGCTTTGCGCTGGACAAGTATGTGAGGCCAGTACTGACAGTAGATGTGTGGACAAGAAATACCAAGTTGGATTAACAGACTCGCAAACGTTACTCTTGTATTCTGTTTTTCCAACGTTGTCTCCCAAAGGAGTGGTTGATACAAATTTATCTTCAAAGGAGTTTGCTCGGAGAAAATCTGATGCTTCGACAGAACGACTCGACCATGTATTTTAAATTTTAAGCTAATACGAAATACCTACTTTGTGTGAAAGATATTCGCATTGTATAGAGAAGAACTTTATCAATGCCGCGCCGTAGCGTTTACCTACAGTAATCAATATATCAACGCAACAAATAACTAACTGATATAAAGTTAAGAATATTATTTACCTCTCTAGACGTCTTATTTTCTTCTGCGTTGGTCATATCTAATTGTACATAGTTTACTAAACTGAAAATAACAACAAATTGAAAATACATTTTTTCGAATGAAAAATTGTATAGCTGTTTACTGCTTTATGTGTATTTTTTAAGTCTACTTTATGTTATTCATATTAAACTTAAGATCTTCCTAACTTTACAATATAAACCAAAAATCATAAGCATATGTACAAATATTTGTAAGATAAAAAAAAATGTGCAAATTGTGTTTATCAGAATGACGTATTTCATTTTAAACGGTATCATTTTTAACTACGTGCCAATACATATATGGTATATTTTCTAAGCATTGCCAACACAATTTAATTTTGAGGCATAAATACTTTCAAGAGTATTTTGAGTATTTTCATTCTCGTACAATTACATAATTCATAATTTGCAATACTGAATACAGAATATCTTATTTATTATATATTACTACATGTCTGGGTGGGCTAGTGATTTATTTCTGTTTATTCTCATGTTGTCAATATGAGATTGGTATGTCAAAATAATATGCATCCATTATCTTAAAGAATAGCACACTTATAAGTTTAATTTAAACTTATTTTCTTTCCTCAAAAGCATTAAATCGTCGCTAGAGCGAGAAATAGGTATTCAATTGAAATATTCGTAGATAGTCATAACGTCGAGGTCGTTGCTTAATAATTGAACAAAAAGTTAAGCGAAAACTATTTTTCTAACAATGGTATTAAAGTGGTAAAATAGATTTAATGAAAGCGAAGATGACACATTGTAGGAAAACGCACGCTTAAGCCCATGCTACAAACAACCAATCCACACTATTAAAACTCTATTCATTTGACATTTTTTTATTCTATTACAAATAGAACGATAAAGGGAGTAATGGACTGAAGACGGATAGCAAATTTGTCTAACCATATCTCATGATGGCAGCGCTGGGCCTTCAAGGCTCATTAAGCTTACATCACGATTCTGATGACAAATAGAACGGTACATTTTTTTTATTGAAAAATAATCTAGCATGAACTCGAAATTAAAACATTTTTTTTTTTAAAACTAATTTACTGATTGAAAATTTTATTAAACTAGCTACTAAGTATTTCAAAAGTGTTTTATTGAGTAAGCAAAATTGTAATTTGCTTGTTATTTGTATTTTGCCTATTTTTCCTCTTTAGTGTATTATATTTTATTCCATTTGACCTACAAAAACTGAACCATACTAGTATGTGAGTAAAGAGTCAAAACAATGGAAGTCAACTATGTGGTTTTCCGTAAAGATCAACAGCATAAACACCTCGTTTAATGTTTACAAAATCCAAATCGATACAAATATAATATGCTAACATATCCGTAACTAAAAAACAGAATGTGTCAATAACAAATTGTTGTTTTTATTAAACTTTAGTAAGGCCATATTATTGAGTATGCATTCATATTATACACGAGTATTCAAATATTGTTTTGAACGTATGGTTTTGAAAAAAAAAAATACTACAACGAATTGCGAATTTCTAAATAATTCAAGTTAATTGTTAAGTGTTATAAAAGTATAGCTGCATTAAAAATGAAAAATAATGTGAGTTTAATACTAACACTTTCAACATGTATGATTTACTGTGTTATGCTAACAGTGACTCAGCCGGTAAAACACATCGTCCACGACAATCTGTTCGACACCACAAACCATAAATATTCGGTAAGGATGACAATATTAGTGCATGATACTAGCACCTTTTACTCGTACTTATTTCAATATTTACCTTTCTGTTTTAAGGACTATTTAACGGCAGACGAAATAAGTAAGTTATTCCAACCCATTTTCGACAATCAACAACCCGATAAAACCGCTAAAATTACAATAGAACAACTAGAAGAAGTTTTCAGCTGTTCGCAAGACAAAAATGAGAATTTAGAAAAATTCAAACAATTTGTAAATGATTACATGAGCCAGGGTAAAAGAAAATAAATAAATTACATTTTTTAACAAATAATGTAGGCAAACCGCTAAATACAGAAAGGACACGTGTCCAGATTTTTAAATTTTTCAGAAGACAAAAAACTTAATAAATAATTTTTCTGAATAATATTTAATTATACTTTTCATGTTATATTAATAATAGAACAACAAAATATACTTATTTCTACAATTATTTACGTATTTACGTTATTAACGTATTATAAAACTCAAGGGTTTTACCTTAAGGGTTTTAAGGTCATGAACATAAGCCATTTATGCATCAAATTACTATAAATTGTCTTTAAATAATTGTAGAAACATGTATATAATGTCTAATGCTATATTATTTAATTTATTAATTTATTGTATTTTTAAACGGGTTATTACCCAATTACAAATATAAGAAGAATAGGCACATAAACATAGAATTTACACAAAAATAAAAGTATACAGTTACATAACAGCTGACAAATAAAATGGATTTCAACAACACAGATTATTAGATAAAGATAAACAATATTTACACAATTAGATTATTTAAAATAATAACAAAAGCTTCTAACGAATTTTTACCAAATAAATCAATATTATTTTTATTTACTAGTCGCATCATTCGATTTAAAGGGGCATCGCGACAATAGTTTGAGCGCTGGAACAGCAGCACATAAAAAGTATCCAACTGACGAGTCATACGACAAGGAACATAAAAATTTAACCTAGAAAGTAATGCAAGGCAGTTAATGTGTCCATTTGTTAATTTAAAAATAAAACACATTAGTAAAATGAAATTTGTAATTCAATTTTTTTCCAAAAATATTAAGGTTTTTGTCTTGAAAATTTAAAATCTGGACATGTGCCCATTCTGTATTTAGCGATTCGTTTACTTAAAAATAATTAAATGTTATCAGTTAAAAATACCACCATGCATTTCACAATAAACTGTAATCACCTTTCACCAAGTTTACAATACTACAATATAATTTTTTGTCCAGATTACAATCTGAATTAACGAAATTTTTCATAATTTTTTTCGGAATTTAGTACACATGAATTATACAATATATAGTATACATATCATGCAATTAAGTATATAATGTATGTGTTAAGTATATGATTATGCAATTAAGTGATTTTTGTAAGTGCCCTTTCTGTATTTAGCGATTTATTTAACTGGTAAGGCCATAGTGCTTTCCTTAAATTTTCCAATTATAAATGTTACTATTACCTAAAGTCAAGAGTTGGGCATTATTTAGATTAGTCGAAAAAAAAAATATTCGAATAATCATCTAAATAGTATCAAATAAAGAGATCATTAAAATATATTAGATAATTATTATTCGTTATTTGAATAAAAAATGCCCAACACTGCCTAAAGTTGACTTGAAAAAATTCAATTCATCTCATCTGTTTCACTTTAAACTTGTCTTTAAAGTTGATTTAACGCGTAAATTCCCAGGTTTGAATTAATATCTTATACTTGTTTATGTATGTATTAAACAGGAAATAAGAAGATTAGCTTTGAAGAGTTATTGATCCTGTTAAACGAGTATAACAAATCTCAAAAACTAGAGGTATTATAATGAATTACAATTTTATATTCATGCGTAGGTGGTACAATATTTTACTATATCCATTTTGCACAAACTGTATCAATGTATAAATTTAGTTAACCCATAATAAGTTAAATGATAAATTATAATGTCCCAACTTCACTGTACTGGATTTTTTGAATTCATTAATTATTTATTTATTTATAAACGCCCAAAAGCTTAGAGTATCAGTACAAACTAGTAAATTCAGTAGTATAGCGGAAAATAAAGCCAAGAACACGGGTTGCTTTAAAAATTAAAGATTGCATGTGATTGTTATAGGTTAAATTACTATATAAAATTACACCTAAGTATAATTTCCTGGAGTATACGCTAGGAAGTATTGAATTCATGATTTTATATTCAAAATGAATAGGTTTGCAAATACGCGAAAAAGAGATGATTGACTTTTGTTTACATTAAGAGATTTTTATTGTACACCAGTTCACAAAGGCAGCAATATATAAAGATTCAAGCAATCATAAACAGATTGAATCTGCATATAAAGTTTTAAGTCACCAGCAAATAAGCTAACTTAAGCCCATTTAATAGTGTATTTAATGTCATTAATAAATAGAACTAAGAGTAGTGGTGAGATATGGCCACCTTGAGGAGCTCCTGATTTAATAGGAAATTATAGAAACACGATCATTTATTTTTACTTGTTAGTAACGTCAACAAGTAGTACAATATCCTCGTTGATCTATTTTTAAAAATTCAATAACGAAATGACAAACATTTTTAACAATATTGACATTGACAAAAATTAAAAAAATCACAAAAAATGAATGGCTATCCGTCTTAGAATAGAAAAATTTCCAAAAAAAAAAACAATGTTGACAGTAATAAACGCAGTCTTATTTGAATAAGAGCTATACAAATTTAACCGGTTAAAAATAATAAAACTTATCTAATTTTAGAAAACAATTCCATTAAGTACAACGAATTCAGAAAATGTACAGTTACGCCGAAAGAAGCAAAAAAACTGGTCAATGGACTCTGACGAAGAAGTCGATCATCTCGTTGACACTCTAAACTATGATAATTCATATGGTCATGTTTTTTATGGAGATTTACATAAGGAAGGTTCTAATGCTGTTGTCAATATGAGCGTTGGGAATAAGAACCCATAATTTGTAGTACTAATTACTATTATTAGCTAATACACGATTCTTAATCGCTTAATCATAAAAACATTCACGTTAAAAAAAAATTGTTATTGTTTCAAATTTAAAGGTCTCTATCGTATTAAATATAAATGGTTAGATATTGTTAAATATTTAATTGTATATTATGATAACATTATTATGTAATTTCTGTAATTTACTAACTATAAATGGACAATTTCAATAACGAAAAGACATATTTTTTTAATCTTTTAACATACCCATGATACCCTTATATCATTTACATTTATTGTGAAAGATTGTCCACAACGAGATCTGTGGAAATTACCACAATCCCATGGTTTTATATCAACTTGAAATTATCTAACACTCGTCTGCTTTAATATTAATTTGAATAGCTTACCTAGGTCCGTTGATTACCATAGTTAATACCGTCTTCTGCCGCAAAGTCCCAATTAAACAAATTTATTTGAGAAAAAAAAATTGCAATTTTTATTTACTATTTATACTTATGTAAATTATAAAACTTGTACAGTTTTTATTTTCCTACAAATTTACAAAAATAGTGTTTAAAAAAAAAAAGTAGTTTCTAAAAATAAATTGCATAACTTAGTTTTTATGTAAAAAAGGCAAGAACTTTTAAAATCGAAAACAGACAGAATACCTATCGGTATTAAATATAAGTTTCCAGACTTAATGAACACCCTGTATAACGTATCGAAACTCGTGTTTAATGACATCACATTCATCTATTGTTAACCACTGTCGTTATCATTAATTAACATATTTACTGCAGTCAGGTTTATTTCATTTTATTCTAACTACAGTAAAAGTACCACATATTATACAATAAATGTTTAGTACGACGATTTTTCAATACCTACTTGCATATTTTTAATTATTGTAAATATAGCTAATTGTCAAGTTATCATATTACTTAATTCATTTATTTCGTATGACATGAATAACAAACACATAATACGTAATAATACACTATTAAATTTTAAATTTCAACAAATGTGTGTTTGTTATTCATGACATACGAATTACATAATAAATAAATAAATCATATTAATCAGCGACATGTCAACTAGTACGATTATAAAATTTAATCATAATTGCTCACCGCCACAACATACAGCTCATTTAGGTTTACAAGATGATTAAAATAACCAAATGGTCAAAATAATACAAATTAAATCTTACTAAGAAGAATGGTACCGCGTGAGTGATTGGCGTTTAAAAAAAAAAAAATTATTATTCAGGAAATAATATTTCACAACGATAGACAATCATTAACGACATTCTATGATAACTACCTATTCTAAAATGTTAATAGAGTGCAGACTCAATATAATATGAAAAATACGGCCAAGCGGGTTATTAGTTACCGTGGTTAAGTATAAAAAAAATACCCAATAAAGTTAGACAAGCTGTTATTAATTGGAAAAAATGGATAGTGGCCGAATGCAGACAAACGCTCCAGTTTTAATTTCGGGAAGAACATTTTAAACTCGGATATACGCAGCGGTTGAGCCCTATGCTCTTTATTCTTTAGGAACTTGTTTCCCTACCTATCTCTAGCACCATAATAAATATTTTATAAACACACTACGGAGAAATTAATTCTTTATACTGACAGAACAGAACAGCTTTTGTAATAAAATTTCTCCTAATTTATCTTTTTTTTAGCTTAATTCGTCCGCTATTTTTCTTACAGTCTGATTTCACTCTATCTACTCGAACTTTTTCTTCATTTTTCCTCTACAGTATACACTGATAATCTGTTTAAAATCTTACCCGTTTTGCTAATTAATTTTCATTTTCCCCCCCTCTATGAGCATTAAAAATAAGTATTTTGATCATTTTCTATTAGGTTATAATACTTAACTTAGTTGAGTTCTTTATTTCTATTAAGTATATTATTATATCATATTTTCAAAAAATTCAAGTATTTTAACCAATTTGCTTAAATTTTTAGATTTTTTTTACAATCAAGCTGTTTTGTATTGTTCTATCGGATAAAATATATTTTAGTTCTTATAGTAAACAAACATTAAAACAACTCTGTTGTACGGATGTTAGAATTTAAAACACACGAATGACTGTATACGAAAGCTGTTAATACTGTGTTGGTGTTTGTTTCAGTTTTGGGTCATGACGGCTTAGACAATACTCAACTATTTGTTTACAATATTTACACTATTAAGGCAAACTTATTTCAAACACTTCGAATACCTTTAAGTTTAAAATCTGTGTAACGTTCTCCTAACATATAATATGTGTTAGCGATTATAAAACCACCACAGGCATTAAGCTAAAGCGACATAATAATATTAGATAATATTAAGACCAACGAGTTAAAAATGTTAAACACATAGGTAACCTAACCAGCCTAAACAATAAAAAAAATCAGATCATTTTTAATTAACAATGATGAAGTTTAAAAAATTTGAATTTACTTTCCATTGTTTGCATTGAAATTATAGCTATCAAGATTTAAAATTTGATGACTTTGATACTTCCTCGTGATTTAAAACTGCCCATTTATTATTGATAATAACATTTAATGTATATGACAATTTAGCTCTGATGCAGAGCTGAGAAGGTATTTATTTTACAATGATATTTTAATTATTTTGTTGTTATGTGTGCTTGGACCCACGATATCTCTTAACCCACTGGGATGGGGTTTTATACAGAAATTCTGAAGGTACTTTATAAGGTCATAAGTTAAAAATATTTACTCCTTCCTCTACAAAACTGACGAGAAACTTCCAAAAAAATTCTGTCATAATATTTCATTAGCATTATTATCACTAGGTACTTATTATTATGATATTAAATGGAACTACTTCACACCAACCCCATTTTATGTTCAAATAGCATTGAGTATCATTATACGAGTATGTTCTAAGGTTATATTATTTTTTGTTCCAAATATGCAAACAGCAAACAAGTGGTGCTCTCTTGTAGAAATGTTTGAATACACAAAGTTCTAATGTACTAAAGATTTTGGATATCGGTCATGTAGATGCCGTCTCGTGAAACGCAATTTCTGTTTTAACAATATATGATAGTAAACTTAATAAAGAGACTGTAAGCTGTGTCTATTGTATGTACAAGATGTTTCACAGTAAAAAGAAAAAAAACGTTTAAATTATTTTATATATTTCAATGACAATTACTTACTGTTTATCACACATTTCATAAAAAAAAACACCGATGACTAAAATATAATCATTAATATACCAGTCGACGCCGTTTTCTTTTCTTTTAAATAGTGTAATATACCGAAAATTGATTTTTTTAAAGGAATACGTCCTTTGATTATAACTCACGTGATTCAGGCAAGTACAGGTATACATCATACATCATACAGGTATATGTGTTAGGATTATATACTCAATCCACCGTTATTTTTGTCATGACGATCTAAGGTTTAAAATTGTTTTTCATTGAATAACTCGATATATGTTGAATACACTGCTAAAAAAACACACACAGATGACTAGTCTAAATCTGTAGGTCTAAATAAGCCAACGGCAATTTTCGACAAAAATTAATTAGACCGGTAAAAATTTAAACTAAGACTATTTCGTGTAAAAGTCACTAAAAATGAAAAAGATTTGTAAACAATGATAATCAATTAATCAGAGAATAAAGAATAATACCACCTCACGCCCTAAAAAAACGGGCATACCTACGCGTAAACTGCGCCCAAATTACCTTGTTTTAGGTAAACTGTGCCCCGATTATAATTTGGTTCAAAAAAGGTAAATGTAAAACTGCGCCCGAGTTTTTAACAAGTGCGGAAAAAGGTTACATGAACACTGCGCCCAGCTTCTTAACATCGGTATGAAATGCAAACTTTAACCACCAATGCATGTGAGTAATTCCATTCCCATTTTAATTCTAGCTTTTATACAACTCATCCAAATATGTTTATAGAAAAGTTGAAAAAAATTCAAACAGAAACATACATTAAATGGATAACAATAGGATAAATGAACCTTTCAAGTATAAAAGTTCTAAAACAAAACAAAAACGTGAAAAATTAAAGTTTAATTAAATAAATATATTAGCGGCGAAACACAATTTATCAATATGTATCAATAATATGTTATTATTTGTTCTAATTTTTTTTTGTATAATATTATATGGCTGTAACGAACCAAGTTGTTTTCAATGCAGTTTACATGTCACCTTTTACCAATTGATAAGAACTCGGGCGCAGTTTACATGTAATCTTTTTACACTGATAAAAACTCGGTCGCAGTTTATGTGTATGATTTTGTGTTTACCTGTGCCTTGGGCGCACTTTACAATCGCCGAAAAAAACGCAATGCATTTAGTTTTTTCAGGGCGGTGTAAACACCGTAGGCGCGACCTCAGGGGAAATGAAATTTTCATGAGTTCAAAGCTTGGTTACCAAAACTAATCTCTTTCATGAGTTTGTGAACTCAGATAATTTTGTGATAAATAATATGTATGAATTTCTTTCCTTAACTATGTATGAAGCCTGAGAAATATTAATCCACGCAAAGCAGTTTTGATGGCAAAAAACAATTGTATTTTATCCTATAGAAATGACTGTGATAGTCTGACACAAAACATGGCAATCAACAAAGTATCCTCAATACTGTATTAATTCGTATACATTATAGTTGAAACTCTAAATTAAGATTTTTCGAAAAATTGCCTATACTTTACTCCTTAGAAATGGTCGGTGTGGCGTCCTCTTAATTGCTAGATGCCCAGTCTAGTACCATTAGATAATTTCATAGATAGGTATTTGTGCAGTTAAGACAACTTATTTTCTCTTAGAATAATTGCAATTTTGTGTCTTTTTCTTTTTGGAGACACTTTAGTTTATATTGTTTAATGACTAAAAATATGCTCAATATTAGATAATATTCAAATTTTTACTTTTTTTTGTTTTCTCCTAAAGGTAGGTAATCTGTAACAACTGTGAATAAGCGTGCACAAGTCGATTTCAGTGATTTTACAGGAGAGCGATTTTTAACTTGAAAGAAACCACTAAAGTATTAATCAATATAAGAGAATCATAAAAAAAAACCAAATGTTTAAAATGAAATCCTGATTTATAGCAGCTGGTCAAAGTATCTCGCTCCCCTTTAAAATAACTGAAATCTACTTGCACACTCATTTACTATATTTTTCGCCGGTATAAAAAAAAAACGAGTGTTCAGTTAAGAAAAAAAAAAGTTGTTTTAAAAATCGTGTCCTTCTTTGTTGGACACGTCGAAATGTTTTGTTCACCCTGCATATAAATACACATTTGGTTAACATATCGTCGGTACAAAATGTTATTTATAATGCACAATCTATGGTTGTGGCGAGTTGAAGGTGACCATATATAGAAATAAGACACATCACGCACAAGTAAACAATGATAAAACGTGTTTATTAGACAAAAAGTAGGACAACTGCGGTTATCGACCATATTATTAGTTTAAATCTAGTAGAACAGAAAACAACTTATAAATTAACCTAAAAACAAATAGAAGAAGAAATGTTTCTGTACCGTAATGCTCGCCGTATAACAACGTACACATTTTTTTAAATTGAGGCGCCTCCTAGAACACGAGGGGTATAAGTGACATTTTTACAAAATCTGAGTTATGTCGACAGCTTAACTACAAATTGTCCATTTTATTTGGTGGTAAAAGATATACAAGTGAATAATTCATCACAGTTTGCCGAGGTCTGGTAGCATATCACCTAACCGCCATATAAATGTAAATTTTGAGCTTGATTTTCTCGAACTCAATAAAATATCACTCATACCCCTAAAATTCTAGGCGCCTCGTTTATAATACTGAGCTGTATTGTGAGTTTTTGCAGAAAAAGCTTATAATGGTGATTAATTTTTTTGTTTATTAGTATAATATATATTATCCATTTGTTTTTATAGCGAATACCCGAACAGTACTTCGTCGGCGAACACCAGTGGGTATTAAAAATTTAAGTATAAAAAGAAACAAATATTCTTAATCTAATTAAAAACCTGTTTCACGAGGTGTCCACCAATGTTTATGTAAGCGACGATAGCTTATACTAGCTATAGTATAGTGAAAACATAAGTGTATACACGAGAACAAAAAAAAGTATTATTATATCTATATATATATATCCATACCAAAGTCGAATTGCTTTTCTTCACATTTTATTTTTATTTTCTTAACGACAATTACAGAATTATTTTCTAATGTGTTTATGGCAAAATATAATTCGCCCCTTTCCCCCTAAATAATGGCATAGTAGTTATCATATACTTAACTAATGATGTAAATACATATGTTAAAAGTGTGTGTTGTATTTCATACATTTTTTTAACATTTAAAAAAATAAATATTAACGTGTATGGTGTGTTTGTTTATGATTAACGTGCACAAAAAGTTTTAAACCAGTTTCTATCATAGACAATAAATAAGGATTAAATAAATAAATAAAAAAAAAAATGGTTTTGCAGGTTTTTTACAAGTGAACAAATAAAACGTTTAATGTGTGTCTTTAATATATATATATACTTTAAAAATAATAATTATAAATAAAAAAAAAAATTACAATTTACTGCAATAGGCTAATAATTATTATCATACCGAAATTGTAAAAATGTAATTGGTTGGTACTTGAGTTTATTTATATATATATATATATTAATGTATGTACTTTTATATTACTTTATGGGTCTGAATGAGGAATGTGAAAACGTCCCTAATATTTAATAATTATATAATAATAATAATAATAATCATAATGATAATAATAATATAATAATAATAATAAATTACTAAAAACACTGGAGATTATAATTAATCGTAAAAATTACAAGATTTTAAAATTATGTTTTAAGTGTAAAACAAATTATTTATAATATATTTTTAATATAATTTTCCATAATTAAGATAATTTTTTTTTGTCATATTACCATAATTTTATGTATAATAATGTAATGTTATAAGACAAAACTGGATGGCCAAAAAAATTTAAAAGAATTTTAATAATAAAAAAAGAAAAGACATATGTGAATGCTGGATTATTATTTTTCTTCATTCTTTTTGTTAATTTTTTTTTTTTACAAAATTTACATGGCAGGTTACCCGCCAAATAAAAACTGATTCGATTACGAAAAAAAAAATGAAAACATATTATACCTTAGAAGGCAATAGTATAACGGTTTTAACACAAAAAAAAAATGTTCACAAAGTTTAAAATGTGGTAAAAAGATTATAAACCTTTTTACATTTCGATCAATCACATAAACATTTTTAAAGCTTACTTGAACAAAAAAAAAAAAAAAATGCAGGTTAATTTTTTTTTTTTTTGAAAAAATTATATATATGATAAAAAAATTACATAATAATAATAATAATAGTTATTAATAATGAAACACATTTCACTTAGAAGTCATCATGGTCACGAACTCTGAAACAGATACAAACAAACAACAGATGAGTTAAGGTACATGTTACACTTTTCTTAAAAAAAACTTTAACATAATAAAAACAAAAAGTATTTTATATCACATCTGCGTTTACCGTACTACAGAAACCGAGGAATTGATGGAAATTTATAAGAATGTTAAACAACAACAACAAAGGACTGATTTCGGGTTGTGATAAAACTACAATTTCTTTTTGACCTTATTTTTTTTCTTGCCCGTCACCAAATACTGATCCATTTGGTTTTTTAACTTGAGTATATAAGCTATAAACATAGGAAAAACACAAATGGAAAACAATGACAGGAGAAATAAATAAATTTAAAATAAACATTGTTAGGGGAACAAAAACGCACACGCACATGCTCTAAATAATGCTAGTGTTAAAACTAAATAATTTAAAAAGACACGTACAATGTTTTTAATTTTGCCAAGTATTGTCGTTGTGTACGACATAAGAAAATCGGCTGTACACATAACAATTTGTGTGTTCATTAGATATGTTAATGTTTGATTTTTATTCACAATGCATTGATGGTGTATATCATACGATAACATTCAACTTAACAATTAAAGAATAAGATAATATAGAAACAAAGATACATAAATAGAAATTAACACTGACCATAACACGTAAGAAAATGGTCCGCGCTAAAATGTGGAAATCTGCAAACATGTTAAAAAGAAAGAAAAATAGAAGAGAATTTATACATTATCAGTCTTTAAGATAACGATATTTTGAGTGTATTCTTATAGATATTACTTAGGTCCAAAATAATCGTCAATGGTGGGTTGTTTTAAGCGTTAATTAAATAGACTAAAAGTTTTTAAAAATATTGTCTGTGTTATACGATGTAGTTAAACACGTGAAAATAACAACTTATTTTATCTAATGATATCATGTAGAATAATTGTATAGCAAAATATACTTTGGGCGTTATTATAACAAAATCACCAAAACCAAAAAACTGTTTTTTTTTAAATCAGATTTTCTAACAAATATAATACAGAAATAAATAATATTTTGTATACATTTTGAAATTCTTAACACATTTGCTGCTTCTTTTGAATATAGCCAACATCAGGTCTAATGTGCTCTAAAATGTTGACACTCCGCTCGAAAAATGTTATTTTTATTTACACATCACTATAATTTTATCAATTTTATGATGGTTAGAGCTTAATAGATCAATTTTTAATGTGGCGAATGTATCAAATCCAATTTCTTAAATATTTTGTTTTGTTTATTAGAATACCAAATTCTGATAGTGTCAAGTGTCTCAGTTGAGATTTTCTAATTCATGAGATTGTTTTAATTCATTATAATTGACAAATAATCTATTATTTCAATGGGAGTAGTGAATTCACATGTGCAGTGTCTGTTTAACAAATAAACCTTTTTATTATTCACCTGATGAGTTTTTTTTAATAATCCAAATTGTAATGTCAAATAATTTTCCATTCATTGTCAAAAAGGCTTATGAAATTAATGTTTATTTAGTAAATTAGTAGGTAAAAATATTATATTTTTAATAAATAATAAGTATTTTATATGTATATAACTTTAACTAATAAAAAAAAAAATAATGTAGACTAAATCAGCTAAATGCTACACAATAATTGTTATGGAAATAAATTATAGGAAGAACAATTATTAGAGATTTATAACACATTTAGTTGAAATAATATATTATTTTTTAAAAATATCTGTCAATACTTAGGTCTTGTTTATAATACATTACACTATAGAGATTTTATACTATATAGTATTTAATACTTAGTATTTTAAAATATATTTTCCATATAAATTACCTTCATAGTTGACTTGACCATCACCGTCAATGTCAGCCTCCCTGATCATCTCATCTACCTCTTCGTCGGTGAGCTTCTCACCAAGGTTTGTCATTACATGACGCAGTTCAGCTGCACTGATGAAACCGTTTCCGTCCTTGTCAAAGACACGGAAAGCCTCTCTGATTTCTTCCTCGCTGTCGGTGTCTTTCATTTTACGGGCCATCATGGTCAAGAACTCTGGGAAGTCTATCGTACCGTTTCCTAAGAATATAATCCACACAGATGTTTTTACTATTGAATTTAAATGTTACTGAAAAGATTTTTATTTTACCATCAGCATCAACTTCATTGATCATGTCTTGGAGTTCAGCTTCAGTCGGGTTTTGGCCAAGAGACCTCATGACGGTTCCCAGTTCTTTGGTGGTAATGGTACCATCACCATCCTTGTCAAAGAGCGAGAACGCTTCTTTGAATTCAGCAATTTGTTCTTCAGTTAGTTGATCAGCCTGAGTCAATAAGAACAAAATACATTTTAATTATTAAATTTTAGCTCCGCTCAATCAACTTACTAAATTTGAATTCTATGGTATTAAATACGTACTACAATAAATGTATTGAATTGTTCGCAACCAATTTTTTATTTAAAAGGGAATTATTTATATATAATACAACCATTTTTAAGAAAATCAATATTATTTATACAAGAATATATAAAATAAATGACTGTCTAAAAATTGTACCAACAAAAAACAATAATAAACAGTTGTCAATAATTCATATAAAAAACATTTTTACTTAAAAAAAGTATAACGACGTTATGAGCAGTATAAAATTAAGTGATTTTTTTTTTCCTAACCTAACCCAAAAGAGATTTTTTATGTAAAAATCAAGTTATGTAAATGCAGCACATTAGGCAAGTATAATATAATTGTTTTAAATAATTAAATACAGCCTTTTGTATTGAAACAATTATATTGTTTTAAGTTGTAGGAAACGGTTTCGATAATTTTATTTTGTAATATATATTTTGAATAAAGCACATTGTACATTGTAAACAAAAAAACAAGTCTTATTCACATTTTAAAACACAAATTAAAGACATTAGATAACAGAATTTTATAAGTTAATTATCATAGGTATTTCAATAATAATTAAATATACAAAAGTTGTATTACTCGTGTAATAAGATAAAAACAATACCTCTTCATAACTAAAAAAACCTAATATCCTAAGAAAATACACAAAAAAAAAATCCCCAGAGATAATGAACCAATATATTTAACATTGTAGTTTAAAACAAATATGTAATGTGCTTCGACTATATAAAAAAATAAGCTTGTCCAATAAAGAAATCTTAAAAAATGTACTTTAACTTATTAATTACTTCATATCATTAAAAAGAATTCAAAAAATTCAATAATTTAAGTAACAGTTAAAATGTTAAAACTTGGTAATATTTTTATGATGCATAAAGTTATAAAGGAAGAAGAGTGATGGAGTTCATTAATAGGCAGTGTGTCAAGATCACTGTAGATGGTTTGAAACTCAAGTCACAAGAAGCTAAATTATGGAAAATAAAACTGTACAATGAAACAGATCTTTCATCCGTTTTTTTAGCGACCAACCCAAAAAGTGAATACGCTAAGAAACCATCTTTTCGGTGGAGGTTACCACTGATATAGATTTCTAATGCCTGATGGTCAACGTTAGTTGTGGTCTGCCAGATAATATAAGTAATATTTTTTTGTAATAATAATTATCATATAATAATATTTTTTAATGTATTTACTATTTCGAAATAGGTCGTTAGTCTGTTGACAGTAAGTAAAATTAACCATAAAAAGTAAAAATTGTGTTTTTTACTCCTGCAAGTAATATAGCGCTATTTCCATTCATTGTTTTTGACTTTCATCAAAAAAGGGACATTGGTGATATAGATAGGATTTCATAGCGATTTGAATAATTATTTTAAAATGGTCAATTTATTGTAAAACTGAAATAGATGTTACTAAGGTCTTTATTAAAGGTTAGCTTAAAACATCTTAATTTTAGAATTTATAAATGCATATATAAAAGTGATGTAAGGGACCTTTGCTATTAACAAAAAAAGTATGGAATTTTACTTATTTTAATTACCAAAAAAAGTTTCGGCGTTCAATTTTTAATTGATCGACTTTATCTAAAGAAAGCCAATCTAATAGTTTCATTGTTAACATAAAATATAAATAATATAATATAAATTAAAAAAAAAAAACATAAGGTATAATTTAAGAAAGACATTAGTAATGTACTAGAAATGTCTTGTATTTAAACATTTAGGGATTATCCTAACCTGATTTCCCCCAAAAAAGCTAAAATGATAACTATTTCTTAAAAAAAATGTAACAAGGATAGAAATTCAATCATGCAACAGTCTGAGAAAAAATCAATCGGAGGTCAATAGATCAAGGTCATGAATTACAGTTACCACCAAGTAGCGGCCATGCAGGTACACCCCAAATGTTACGGTGAACTTAATAATAAATAAGACTAGTATTCAATTAATCTTGGAGGTGCAATTAAAACAAAACACGCAGAATTTTATAAGTAATAGAATGGCTAGTTTACACAACCTATGTCTAGCATGCTGAAAAAAGGTTGTACAACGGAGAACATTGGCAACATGAAATCAAACCGACCAGCATTGTGATTTGTAATATAAATCTTCGGCTAAAATCTATGGTTTTTTAAAATTCAAATAAAGCTTCCAGATTTATTTCAAAAACAACCGTTGTCTAACACAATTATATTAAAAAACGTACAAATCTGCCAGACTACTCAAACAAAATAAAATAAAAACTCGAGAAGAACGAAATGAAAATTTGAACGTGGGTACAAGAAAAAATAAAAGCCCCGGAGACTAGAAACCTGGCTGCAGTAGGTATGAATTACCTATAATCTGTGTCTACTCCACACCGCCGTCCAAAGTATGGGAGGGACGGGGGGCGAGGAAATCTCAATATGCTAACGCTAGATGGCGTTTCGTTCCTTTTATGGCGAGTCTGACGGGAGGGGAAAACGACCGGGTCCACAGCTCTTTTTTTTTTTTTGCGGTAATGGCGAGACGGGCCATTTTGAATATTTATTATTTAATATTTGTTACCGTTACACCGTTTTTATTTACGTAGGTACATCCTAGGTAATATAATAATATTATTGTTATTCAGCTTACGTGTACACGCTTATCGTTCTCATTACACACTATTATCAGAATGAGATAAAAAAAACTCTCGAGACCTCGTTACCACGTTCGTAACCGCGTTTCGGCGAAGAAAAAACATTTGAATGGAGGAAAAAAATCGCATCACGCAACGCGACGACGGGTCAAGGTCGCTGAGCAGACCGGGACGAGAGCGGAGAGAATTTCGATTTTTCCCCTATTATCTTATTCACCCGACGACGGTTTAGCGAAAGCGATCTATATGTGTAATCACACCAAAAATACCGGCATTTGTACAGATATTGTACAAAACGATAAAAAAAAAAAAAAAAAAACTAGCGTCAGCGCCATGTTGGGCATCTTGACGGCGTGACCGGACAACGGAGAAACCGTCGCCGCTCGCTATATCAACGACCGAGATGCGAAAAAATAGAAATAAACGGCCGGGTGCTAAAAATAAAACTGTCTGGGCAACGCGGCGGTGGTGTCGCCAAACGACCCGAAAAACGCTGCCGCCGCCGGCGGACGACGACAGTGTCGGCAATTATTGTGGCCCCGAAAATAATAATAATAATAATAACAACAATAATTACACTAGTAATACAATCGGAGTAACTCACCATTTTAATGTATTATTATCTGATTACGTTGAAGAAATCCGGACGTGGGCACACGACGTAGCTGACGCGCGTCCGTGAGTTGATGCGTTCGTGTGTGCGGTGTGTCACCCGACGAGCGGCGGCGGCGGCGTCAGCGGTTAACGCGCGCGCTTCCGACAGATACCGAAAACCGTTGCGTGTGTGTGTGTGCGGTGGCGTTCGACGACTCGGCTGCCGGCGGCGGTGGTTTTATATTTTTCGTAATATAACACGGAACGTTTTTACGACCGAACGAACCTGAAAAACTTTACACGATTGTTGAACGCGCGTGCAAAAATTGATGGTTATACGGTACACACGGAGAATAAAAGGTGTGCGGCGGCGGTAATACCGGAATAGTGTGGTCGTAACCGCGTTCAGTGTAAAACTGGTGACGGACGGCAGCCGGCAGCGGTAGGAGCGGTGCGACCGGGGCGATACCGACGGCGGCCGTGACGTCACCCCGGCGCGCGCCTGTTCGCCACGGCCGCCGCCGCCGCCGCCGCCTCCTAGCCTATAATAGTCGTATGCGTGCACCGACGCGGCTCCGAGACCGTTCTGCGCAAGAGGAGAAAAATACATTTTTCAAATAATTATCATATTATATTATTATTATTATTACTATTGAACATTATGATCGTAATACAATACAGGTACGAGTTACAACGCAATAACAGTTGCCCGTACAGCCGGTGTATCCCGTGCACGGCGTCTGCGTGTAATTGTTATTTTTTCCCTTTTGTCTTCCAACGATAATAAGATAGTCGTCCGTTTTACACCGGTCAGACGGTCATCCGACGAGCCGACACATTTTCGGGCAGCGGCGGTATCGGATTTTTGCAGGCAAACGACGCGGCGAACCTCGTGCCGCCGCCAACCATTGGCCCGCCGGCACCTGCAATGCGCCAAGTGGCGTTGGAACTGCGCGATTACCAAATTTTTAAAAACAGCGCGACAACTCATATAAATTATCCCTAAGCGCGATCGATCCCGGTTTGGTGCATACACTAATTGTTACTTTCGATTTTAGTATTATTAGTATTATGACTAGATAATTGATAGCTTCGCTAATTGTGCGTAGGCGACAAGTGATAACTGATGACAATACGTTCAGACATTTGGTTTTGTCTAATACTCGGACGCAACCACCCGGGGCTCGAAGAGAAAGTCGTTAACAAATTTGATAAAAGAGAGCACTTTGTGTTTTTTTACATTATAATAATATAGTATACCTGTTGGCCGGCATTAAACTTATGAGTGTAGAAAGTAAAAAAATCCGGTATGTGTGGTTTTGTTCGCCTATTTGAGTAGCCTATTCTATATGCTCGCTGTGTGTATCTCTATATCTACCTGTACGGTTTTTAGTTTTTACTAGTATTATTTATAACAACAACCGACGCGTGAAGTTTGAAGTTTTTAGCTTCAAACAGCAAAGTTTATAAATATAATAGAAAAAACCTTCGGGAATTCCCACAAACAAAATAAAAAATGTATATTCATTCACCAACTATACAATAACCGTCGAATGTCGATTGTTCAAATGTATGCATTCATTCATTTATTTTTTGTATAATTACGAATTAATGTAACATTCAAATTCTATTCGACGCGTTTTATCTCATTATTATAAATGCGTTGGAAGTACCATCAATGCCATCATTTTATAATCCAAGCAACGGCGAGCGTGTGAATTTTTTTAAATATGAATAATAAATAACATGTGTCACTCGTGAGTGAATATAACAGCAAGGATACCTCACGACTAATCGTACCACACATCGCCAACGGCTACATCCCACTTTGCACATTTACCTAAAAGACAACTCGTTTGTGCAAAAACTTGGTACTCATTAACGCGTGCATTTGCCCTATTTTTAGGTAAATTTAGTGTCGTTTGCGCACATTTACAAGTAGACATAACACTAACTAATATTAATTTAACACTGACATAGTGAACTATCTATGAGTATTAACTATTGTTAATTTTCACTTCAAAACGTTTAAGACTCTGTTAACAATGTAATGATTTTGTAGATTTAGATTCAGGTTTTTCTTAAACAATTTCAAGTACCGAATTTTATTTTATTTTGTCGGAAATCGCAGTGTAACTTTTGGCGGAAAACAGAAACTCCCGATCTATTATGCAACGGAAAAAAGGTCTAATCCGAAAAAAAAATATAAGATAACAATGTGTGCATACGAGTGACGAGTCATGCTACATATTTGGCAAACATTTTATCATGTGCGCAAACAAGTTTTCACTATCGCCACCCTAGCCTAAAAACAAATCATCAGAAAAATGTATTTTTTTATCGAACCCCTCTATTGTTATTCAAAACTTTGTCAGTATTACCAGAGGAGAAAGGTAATTACTAGTTTGCATGCTGGGAGAGGTTCCCTAACGGGTAAATGACTTAAGATAGTTTGAATTTAGTGACTTGGGATATTTTTTTATTTATTATAGGTACATTAAAATATGTTATAAAATACTAGATTTTAACCTAAAAGTAAGAAATCTATGCACACTGTTGGAAAATGCTGATATTCAGAGTCGTATAGTAACTTTTACCATCAGTATATTAAATAAAATGTAGTACATATAATATCTCATGAATTTATAGAAATCGGCTGCCAGCTGTACAATTAAACGCCGTAGAACGACATTGCATTTTACTCCAAACATTTAAAATATGTATTTTAATATACAGTAATTTTACCGTGCGAAACGATAGTTTTATAAAATAGGTATAGTATATTATATTATTTTGTTCTACAGAGTAAATAAAAACTACTGTGTAGTGAGTAGTTAGTAGTTTCTGTGTAACTCTCTTGCACACGACTTACTGTACTTTATAGAAACATTGCATAAGCACACAGCAAGTCAGGTTTTAATAATAATGCTGTGTTACACACAACTCGTGTTCTATTTACGCAGCTAATTATAAAAGGAAAATAATTATTATTTCAGAAACAAACTATACGGTAAGGGAACTACAACAGAAAATGTCGCGTAAAACGCGGATAACAATTTCGATTTGCCAATTCGCATTTTCCTAGAAACTCCACAAAAAATATAAGCTGCGTAACAGATAGTTCTTAAGTTTGCTTATTAGTTTTACAAAATTATCAATGCTATTATAAAGTAATATTTACTACTGAATTGTGTATAGATAGTTATTAATAATTGTCAGTGTATGTGTGTCATCTTGAGGGCTAAATAAAAGAATATGTTTATTTTGTTTGCAAATAAATATATTTTTTAATTTAATAAGAACTAAGTGCAGCACCGCAAAGAAAACAAAGTTTATTTAATTTGAAAACACTGCATGATGTACGTCGCATTTAGACTTAAAGCTATATTCTATATAAAAGTAAATTGGTACGTGGTAAAGACTTAGAATTTAACTAACTTGCAAGATTTATTTATGTGTGTAGTATTGAATAAGATTATTGTTATGCCGTGGAGACGTATTATTTAATGTTACCTAATAAAAATGAAGAATTTAAGGCATGTAAATTCAGGGAATCAGACATTCCCCTGTTGTTTTTGAAGTTTAAACATAAATGAGCTAGGACCATCGTTAGGGGGATATTAGCCTCTTTGAAATCTTTAAGTATGTGCGTTTACAGTACAATATACGGGGTGTAATGTAAAGTTCTACCGAGCTTCAATTGAGACATTCAGGATGCTCTATGGGTACAAAAAATGGTGTTCATTTTTTTTTTTAATTTTAAAATTATTTAAAATAGAACTCGTATCTCATTAAAAAATTGTCTTACGAAAAAAATAATTTCAGATTTGGAATCGGGAGAAAAAATCTTGTTGAATTAATATGTAACATTATTTTTTGGTATCTGGCCACACATACGTCCACAGGGTGGCCGGCGTGTGACTAAAACCAACATATGGCATGCGACGCATAATTTAATATAAAATAATTCTAACAGACAACATACATAACCTAACCTAACCCGTCGAAGCGAACGAATAAGTAAAGACTAAAGTTTTCGACTTCAAAGCCATCGTGGCATTAAGATGAAATCCAATTATCTTTAAATTAATATCGCTTTACAAGAAACGCACTAATTAGAATGACTGCTACGAGTCTGTGTTTAAAATGCTCGTTATGGGTATTAGGTTACCTACCTTCTAGCGTGTATAACGCATGGGTACCTAAGTCTTACATTCCAGATTAGCTGTTGCTGACAATTCGGATTTGAAATCATTGTATTGTAACACAAGCGGTAACTCAACGGCCCGTTTAACAATTCCATATAGAAAATAGCTGTTATTCGATGTAGAATTACTTGAACCGAACAGAAAGCAATCTATATTTTATTTAACGCGTTACTGTGACTATTTGGAATTTGCACACAAGTGCCAAGTAGGATTCTAAACCCCGTATCTATTAGTAAGGCAAAACGTCGTTTCTTTTCCACGTGTTTTTGAATAACAACGATAGAACACAAAGTTGAAAAATTACACCGGTTCAGGTGGTTACCATACATAAGTCATTCGGGGCGTAAAGTGAATGTAGAACGAACGAAACGAATCAAAGCGCAAACGACGTAATGGCGTATGCACCCCATAATCAAACGTGGCTATAACTTATACTATACCTATACGATACCAACAGGATAAGATTGTTAAGACAGAGTGTTGAGGGTGTAGGTAAAGGAGTAGTGTTAATCCAGAGCGACTGTAAAAGCCCAAGACAAATGTATTATCGATTTAGGTATGTATTCCGCGAAACCGCACAATTCACCATTACACCCAGTGTCAGTCAAGATCGGTTAAATACGATTTGAACAAAGACTACGAAACGTCGTACACATTTATAATAGATTTTAGGGTGAGAGTTTTAGGGTTTAACGCGAAAGTTTTGCCCGTATGCGTTCGTATCAGTCGAAATAGAAGCAATTCAACAGCTCGTGACGGAATAAGTATGGTCTTATTAAAAAAAAAAAAAAAAAAACAATAAAGACTCAGCTTCGCGTCAAAGCAGCAAAAACAAATACAAATAAGTGACGCATCCTGATTGCACATTCCAATTTTATAACGGTTTCCTTTTTTTTCACCTAATCGTAAAATAACTACTCTAATATTTCATATGATTAGCTATTGCAATTATAATTTATACATAGTAATACAATACATTGTTGATTGTCCATAGTTCCCCAACAGGTGATTTGTCACTGTATAAAAAAGCGATTGCTTGTTTTTCGTTGGTTAACTGCAATACGTTCACATATTATACATGTTCACACGTTTAATATGATATATATATATATATATATATCACGGTAGATATGTACTGTGACTAATGGCATTGGTCAAGCCTAATTAAACGCGTCAAAGAAATGAGCTCTTAGTCTGTAAAATGTAATTTTAC